TTCCTATAGCATATGTTATATATAGTCTTGTACATGTCATAGCATACATCAAACATCCGATTACCTTTGAACAATCATGTTGTCTCACATGACAACTTTTGTTTGGTACTAACTACATACTAGAATCGAATGTAGTAGAAATAGGACAACAATCAAAACAATTAAAATTTTTTAATATTTTCTCAATGTAATGAAATTGGGAAAGACCAAGACAATTGTTATCCCTAATAATCTTGATTCCTAGTATGACATCTTCTTCTCCCATATCTTTTATGTCAAAATTTTCAGACAAGAATTTCTTTGTTTTATTTACTTTATTTAAATCAGTGCAAAAAATTAACATGTCATCTACATACAAACAAATCATGAAATCTTTCCCACCATGAAACTTACTATAAACACATTTGTCAGATTTATTGATTTTATATCTATTTGCTAAAACTACTTCATCAAATTTTTTATGACATTGCTTAAGGGCTTACTTAAGTCCGTAAAGAGATTTAATTAACTTACATACCTTGTGTTCTTGACTAGGACCCACAAATCCTTTTAGTTGTGTCATATATACCTCTTCTTCTAACTCTCCATTAAGAAAAGCTGTTTTAACATTCATTTGATGAATAACAAGATTGTATGTGAAAGCAAGTGCTATTAGCACTTTGATTACAGAAATCCTTGTAGCTAGTGCATATGTTTCAAAATAGCTTATTCCTTCTTTTTGTATAAAGCCCTTAACAACCATCCTAACTTTAAACTTATATATGATCTATCTACTTTTAATTTGTTTTTGAAAATCCATTTATAATTGATGGGTTTAGAGCTAGGTAGGAGGTCTACTAATTTCCAAGTTTTATTTCCCGTTATTGAATTCATTTCATCTTATATGACCTCTTTTCAAAAAGCTGTGTCTTGAGACTTTATAGTCTCCTCAAATGCTTCAAGATTATTTTCTAAATTAAAACAAACTGATGAAAAATTTTTAATTTCTTTTCCTAACCCCTCAACAAGAAACATGAAAAAAAAATCTGAATCATAAGTTTTTGCTTTTCTAGCCCTTTTACTTCTTTTAAGTTCTATTTCTTTTAAATCATCACCACTAGAAACATTCTTCTCTAGGTTTGTTTTCTCATTGGAATAAGAAATGTCATTGGGTTTGAGGATTGAGTTCAACCTTTCTTTTTGAAACATTGCATCCCTTGATTTAATGACTTTATTAACAGGGTATAAATCATTTGATTCAATAACCAAGAACTGATATGCCTTACTATTTTCAACATATCCTAAAAAGATACATTCAACTCCTCTTTCACCCAATTTCTTTCTTTTAGGTTCTGAAACTTTAACTATTGCCTTGCATCCCCAAACCTACAATAATTGAGATTGGGTTTTCTTTTCTTCCATAATTCATCTGAGGTTATTTTGTTCCTTTTATTAGGAACTCTATTTAATATATGACATGTAATTAGCAATGCTTCATCCCAATATCCATTAAATAAACCAGAACAAGATAACATGGCTTTCACCATTTCAACTAAAATCCCCCCTTTTTTTCCTTCCAGCTATGCTATTTTGTTGTGGAGAATAAGAGGCAGTTACTTGATAAATTATCCCAACAGACTCAAAATATTTTGAATCAAAATATTCTCCCCCTATCAATCCTTAAACATTTAATAAAGGTTTTACATTGGAGTTCTACTTCAGTTTTAAAGATCTTAAGTTTGTCTAAGACTTTATCTTTTGAGTGCAATAAATAGATATAACAGTATCTAGTGCAATCATCAATAAAAGTCACAAAATACTTTTTACCACCCAAAGTAGGCCAACCATGCAAATCACAAATATCAGAATGAATCAATTCTAATATTTTAGAACTTCTTTCTACTCTAGCAAAGGGTTTCCTTGTTATTTTTAGTCAACATGCAAGTAGTATAAAAGTCATGATCAATAACAGCCTTTGGAATCAATTTGAGTTTCATCATATCATTTAGTTTGCCAAAATTAACATAACCCAAATGATAATGCCATAAATCATAAGAGTCAACAATACAAGCAGAACTATAAATACTATTATTAACGTTAGCAACATTACATTTAAACATGATGTCACAAAGATAACCCTAGCCCACAAATGTTTCACCTTAGTAAGATTAAACTTGTCTCCCTCAAATACAGACTTAAACCCAAACTTATTAAGTATAGGTATAGAAATTAAATTCCTCCTAACTTTCGGTGCATAATAGACATATCTTAAAATAAGAGTTTTCCCAGAAGTGAATTCAATTTCCATGGTCCCTTTACTATTGACTTGGGCAATTGAAGCATTTCCCATATGAAGTATATCCCTATCTTCCTCTTTTAATATTTTGAAGAAGTTCTTGTTCTTGCATAGATGGCACATGGCACCAAAGTCCACCCACCATGATTCATCATTATCAATCATATGGATCTCAGAAATTACTGCCATGAAATTGTCTTTTTTTGCATATTACTTGTTTTCTTTCTCTTCCTTCTTTTCGAAGAAATAACACTCTTTCTTGAAATGACCACCCTTTCCACAAAACAAGCAATTATCTTTTTTTCTTCTTCTTATTCTTGTAACCATTTTGTGCTTGGCATTTGTCTTTATCCTTCCCTCTTTCCCTTAAGTTCCTATTGGATTGTCCTTCCACCACCATATGCACCTTCTCTTGAGTATTGTCTACTTTTTCATCATCTTGCTTTTTATATTCCTCTTCTAAATGAAGATGATTTTCTAATTGCTCAAGAGAGATATCTTCTTTTTTATGTCTGAAACTCTTTTTGAAGTCTTTCCATAAAGGAGGAAGTTTGTCTATGATTGAAGAGACAATAATGAATTCATTCATATACATTTTATGTAGTATGAAATTATTTAAAATATGTTCAATTTTATACATTTGCTCCATGATAAACTTTCCATCAACCATGTTATAACCATTACAACAAGTGGCAATAAATTTCTTACTTATAGCATCCTCTTGTATGTATCTTATCTCGAGTTTGTCCCAGAGATCCTTTGCAGAAATTGTATCTTGATAAACATCAAAGAGAGCATCACAAAGATCGTTGAGGATATGTCCATTGCAGATATAGTCATCATTTTTGCACTTTTGTCTCTCTTTGAATTCAGCACTGGTTTCATCTTCTTTTTCTTGAGGCTTAGGAGTAGTGAGGACATAGGCCACATTCAAAGTTGTGAGGAGAAATTTCATCTTTCTCTATTATCTCAGAAAGTTGCCTCCTTCAAATATGTTTAACTTTACAAAATTAGTAGTCAACTCCTTCACAAAAAAGTCATTTGTGCTTGCAGGATTAAGTCTAAAGATTGTTGGCTGGAATGATTCTTTGAAGAGTACAAAAAGAAGAGATGAAGAAGAAAGCACTGCACGATATCTTCAAGGCATGAGCAGCACTTTTCTTTAAGCTTAATTCGCCTTCACCTCTTTCTATCTTATAAGGTGCAAGTTGGGTTAACCGGCAAATTTCTTTTCGAATACAATGAAGACTCTTAAATGCGGATTGCACTCTAAGATTCAAGCGAAGACAACAATGGCCTTTACAAACTATCTCTGTGTGCACTCAAAGACAAAGACAATGTGAAAAGACCTCTTCTTAATACAAGATTGTAAAACTACTTTTAAGATGATAACCATAGTAGAAAAAGAATTGAGTTGGAATATTAAAATACTACTATGTTTATAAAGAGTTTCTCTTATTCCGAAAACATCCCAAGAGGCTCAGGATACATAAAACACCCATGAGTTTAACAAGACGTATACCCAGGACTCAGGGCATAGTAACCGCCTACAAGCCCAACATAAATATTCAGCTCACAAAGACTTAGGGCACAAGAAATACAGGGTGCTCAGCGCCACCCATAAGTCATACACATAAGAGTAATACATACAGCAGAGTTTATGGCCTTTAGTCATTCTAACAACACTCCATCAAATACAGTCATCCAACAACCAAACAAAAGAAAGTATATATCAACAAAATCATGGGCCCTAAGATTACATAATATTATATGCCCAAACCAAAAGAGGATCACTAGGCTATACTCACCTATGCCTCTAGTTACTTCCCTTTACACCAAGCCAAACTAGATGGCACTCTTGAAAAGCATTAATGAACAATGATGTGAGACATAAAGTCCCAGTAACCAGGTATTAATTTATGACATATACAAGTAGAATCACAAGTTGGTGAAGTAGTGCTTAAATATAATTTAAGTGATAAATGATGTTTTAATAGATACAATCACATGAAAGGAGTATGTCTCACCATCCACAATACTATTCATACAAAAGTATACATATGCAATAACACAATAAATTATACCCTCCCATCACCATACTCCTCCTTATGACTCTAACAAGGACCTGAGCTTTTTGTGCTGAGTAACCCAACCAAAGGTTACCCACTCACATCAAGTAATAGGACCTCTCCTACACCTACACTTCCCAAAAACGAACTATAATGCAAGAGGTGTCTACTCAAGATCTCGTTCTCAATTCCGGGTCAAGGAAAAGAAAAAACTATAGGGGTCTAACAAAAAAGCCAAACACTATGATCGGTAGTGTAGGCATGCCGCACGAGCTTCAAGAGCAATTATCCTCCAAGTAATAAAATCCCAACCTCCACATATAAACCCCATGTATAGTCATAATATAAATTAAAAATATCATAGTTCTTCAAAATAAGATGATATAATTTTAAACAAAATACAATACATTTTCATTTCATTTAATAACATAATATTAGTATATCAAATTCAGCACCACAAGAAAACATAATTTTTAATAAAACACAATCAGGCATAATTAAATCAACATACTTCCACTTCATTAAAATTTGTCATATGAAAAAATACATACTTTATTCATCGGCATATTTTCACAAATTAATTTGAGAAAATAAAAACATAATAAACACCTTACAATCCAAAGCATGTATATAAAATAAATTAACCCTGGTTACCTCTACTCCAAGCTTAATCTCATAGCTTGAGAAATAAGAACACAAATTACAGACTCCAAATAAATAAGAACACAAGTAAATAACTTAAATTACATAGAATTTTTACTACTACTACTACTACTACGACTACCACCACTACTACTACTACTACGACTACCACTACTACTACTACCACTACCACTACCACTACCACGACTACCACTACTACTACTACCACTACCACTACCACCACTACCACTACTACTACTACCACTACCACTACCACTACCACTACCACTACCACTACCACTACCACTACTACTACTACCACTACTACTACCACGACTACCACTACCACTACCACGACTACCACTACCACTACCACTACTACCACTACCACTACCACTACCACCACCACCACTACCACTACCACCACCACCACTCCACTACCACTACTACCACCACTACCACTACCACTACTACCACCACTACCACTACTACTACCACCACTACCACCACTACCACTACTCTTATACTACTACTACTACTACTACTCCTCTTACTACTGCTACTGCTGCTACTACTACTCTTACTACTGCTGCTGCTGCTGCTGCTCCTGTTGCTGCTGCTGCTGCTGCTCCTACTGCTGCTGCTGCTCCTGCTACTACTACTACGACCACCACCACCACTACCACTACCGCCACCACTACCGCCGCCACTACCGCCACTACCGCCACTACCACTACTACCGCTCCTGCCGCCGCTCCTGCTGCTGCTGCTCCTGCTCTTGCTGCCGCCGCCGCCGCCGCCGCTGCTCCTGCTGCTGCTGCTCCTGCTCACTTCAAATAACATTTTTCTTCCCCCTAAGATAACTCATTTAATATATAAATAAATATTAATTTTATTTAATTGTGTAAAATTTTTAATTTATAACTCAATTTTCCAACTTAAAAAAATTCTTCTAATAATATATCTTTAACCTATTACACATGTTAAATTGATTAAAATCTCAATAATATATTAAATAACATAAATAAATTATTTAAATTAAGTTTGATTGGTAAAAACATTCTATATGTCTTGAATAATATATTTTTCAATTAGAATCTTAGTTTAAAATTTTCAAAAAAATCAATAAATAAATATAAACTGATTAAAATTTTAATAATATATCAAACAGCCCAAATAAATTATTTAACTTAATTTTAGTCAGTATAAATATTATATATATATCATAAATGATAGATTTTTTTTAATAAAATAAATTTAATTTTAAATACTAAGGGTAACAAATGGACAAATTTAAACTGATTAAAATTAACTAATTATTTACCTCTAAATTTCTATAGTCATCTATTATCAAAACTCAATACTTATTATATACCCAAATCATAAAATTTTCTCTAAACATTATAATGATACAACTAATATAAAGCTCTAAATATATAGGAAATATTCATAAAAAATTTAATAAAAAGAAATATATTTATATATCTAAATGATTTCCAAAACTTATATTATCTTTCAAAATACTAATAATTCTTTGCCTCTCTCAATTTCTCTTTCTGTGCCTCTCACTCTCTCTTTTTCTTCTCTGTTGTCACCTCTCTCCTCCATATATCCTTTTAATTGCAAAGGTCCTCTCCCATTTTTCCTTCTTTCATTAATACACCTCCCCCGTTTTTCTTTCTTCATTAATCAACCCCAGCTTTTCCACCGAATTTCAGTGGAAAAGCTGGAGGTGTTTTTTTTTTTGGAATAAAATATTTTTATTTTATAATAATAAAATATTATTATTTTATATTATTTAATTATTTTTTATTTTTTTGAAATAATAATTTTTAAAAATAATATTTAGGATGTTACACAATGAGTTTGATCTTTGTATTTATGTTGTGTTATGTCCAAATAAAGTGATAGTAAGAGGTTTATATAGATTATAAAATAATGAATTGAAGAGATGCATTTTGAAATGATACTTTATTAAACAAAAAATCACAATCATATATTGATTCATGAACCAACGTAATTTAAATAAATCAAATATATTTAATACGTAGGGTCTTTTAGTATTGTAACTTTTTGTATAACCTTTCATATAAATATATTAATTTAATAAAGGCACACGTATCTTCATTTTAAAAATATTCCAACATGCTTTTCACTTTCTGATAGTTGTTTGTGTCGCTGATAAAATGTTGGAGAGAATGTTTCAATCCCTGAAACAAAAATAGAGATGAAAATGGGGAGGAAGAAGTAGAAGAGGAACTCTGCGAAGACGGGGACGACGGGGAGGGGGTGAAATGCGAGAGCTGGGGCTATTTTTTTTTTTAATAATAATGATATTGCTATCTTTTATTAATGTAAACATTCTCTCAAAATATTGATGCCTACCTAACATAATTTTAAAGCTCAAATTCCACTTCCAATTCCCATTCAAATCACATTCTCAATCCATCAAAATCCAATCTTGCGTATCAAAGAGGGCAATATGATTTACTAACCCCAATTCTTAATATAATGGTGGGATCTTGAATAATTAGGATTTTACGACAGAGAAACCATTTTCTATAATTTTATTACTGTTATTTTTTTGGTCACGTAATTATTATATCTTTTTTTGAGAAAATATTTGAATTATGATTTAGAATTTGTGATGGTTTCATCTGTTTGAAATTAATTAAATGCACTTTCTATTTATGTTAAAAACGTATTTGGCAAAAAACAAAAAGATCAGAACGAGTGGTTATAAACTTATAATTGTTAATATTTTAAATCCTAATTTTATATAATACCAATAATGGCCATTTATTAGTTTTCTTTGAAAATACGTGTCCGTTTGGATTAGCGATTGAAAAGGTAATTTATTGTCAATTTGACTTTTAAAAAGATAAAATTAAGTAAATATTAAATTAGATAAATTGAATTGTGTTTGAATTATAATTTAGAAAAATTAGTTTGTAAAAATAAGATTGGTAAAAAATTATTTAGATTATGATTGAATAAAAGTAAGTTTGGTTGTAAAATAATCAAAATAAGTATAAGTTTTAATAAATAATAAAATAAGATTAAAAAAATAATTTCACATAATATAATAAAATTAAAATAATTTAATACGAAGAAGTGAAATTAAATGAGTAAATTAAATTAAGAAGTCAAATTTCTAGCTGGCCTCTACCTCCTTCCCTGTGTTCTGCTCACTGTGAAAAATCAGAAGATGAACAGTGCCTAACCATTCTCGTCGATCACCAGAAAAAGATCCAATCAGTAAACTCTCCCTTTCCAATCAGAAAAAGACGATGATCACTGCTCCCAAAGTAGCCTTAAAAGCACGAATTCATAAGCCATAAGCTGGAGGATTCTACTTCTTCAATCGGGTTTAAAAATCACAGCTTTTGGCCATAAGTAAGATTGAACAAAAGCTGAGCCAAATATCTTACTAAGAAGCCAAAGCCAATCGTACCTATGCCTTTAAAAGCTACTTAATCAGTACTCAAACGCTGATCCAAACGGAGCCATATACGGTCCATCGCCCTGCTGCCCTCAGCCTCCGGATCCATCGTCACAGCGAGAGAAGCGTAAAAGCGATGCCGCATTAGAAATGGTGAAGTACGAAAATGGAAGCTAATTCTTTTTCAATTGTTTAACTTAAGTGCGATTCTTTTCTTTGTTTCCAACCCCTTACTTTAATTATTCTTTGCGGATCGATTTAATAAAGTGGGTTTAGTTTTTCTTTTTGCCAATGATATCAACAAGCAAAGCATCCAAGTTTACTTTCTAAAGATAAAAGCAGCATCTAAATCTAAATTTAGACTTATTTACAATGGAGCTCTTGACATTCGGTTTGCATCTAATTAAGTTATATCATAAAGTTAAATTGAAACAAAAAGAAGATATGTTCAAGTTTAATGTAAATGACACTCGGACAATTATTATTATTTTCTGTTGTAAATATAAAAAGAGCCAGTTCAACGTTTCAATTTACTTTGTTTTTAAAATTCTTAATTTTATTTTTTAAATTATCTTTATTATTACACGTATTAAAAGGAAGTTTTGATCACAGGATAATTCTAATACAAAAAATTAAAATAGTGTTATAAAAAAACAACACTTTTTTTTTTTTTTTACAAACAATGACTTAATTGATTTTGTTAATTTTTGTAATCTAGTTTGTACACATAAGACTTGAACTTGTATTTATTATAAACTTTATAATAATTATATTAAAAAGTTACAATTTAATTAACAAATCACTTACAAAAAATCAAAATGGATTAGAGTATTAGATTTATGATCAAATTTAATCTTTAGTTAACTCTTATATTGGCAATCAGATATAGTAGTATTGTATCAAAATAAATATGAATTGAGTTCAATCACCACAAATTCAAAAGAGGACAAGAAATTGATAAATTTGCAGCTCAAACACTACAAAATTATTTGGTTTGAAAAAAGAGGACAAGAAGTTGATAAATTTGGCGTTCAACACACTCCTGAATATTATTGTATTGGATCTAAATAAGGATGGATTTCATAAAAAAAAATATTTTATATTTATACATATTTGAATCCAAAATAATATTTTTAGTGCTCTAAAATTGCAGATTTTTTTTGGGAACTTAAATAATCATAATATATTGGAGAATACTCCTCTAATCCTATTTATAAAGTAGAGAGAGAATGTTTTTTTGAGCCATATTTATAAGTCACTTCATTAAATTTTCAACATAAATGTACTATTTTGTCCTTCATTTATTATAGTGTAAGTAGTTATTTCTTTTGAAAGGTGTATATATTAAATATGGGTAAAGTTAAAAAATTGTTATATTTTAATGGAAAGTTAATGCATTTTAAAGTTTTTCTTGGTCTGTGTAAAATATACTGGAAGTTTCTTATAAATAGAACTAGAAGAAAACATTAAAAAAAGTTAGGAAAAAAGACAATAAAATACTCTAAAAAATGTGAAAAAAGACAATAAAATACTCTAAAAAATGTTTTAAAAAAATTAGGATGGGTAAATTTTAAAATCCAAAATCAAATCCATTATATTATTTTGAAATTTTAAAATATTGTGAAAATGATATCATCACCCTTGTACTTCCGGTAACTACTTTTGAATAGCTACTGACTATTCTTGTATAGCTACTGATTATTTTTGTTTTTAAAGTTCTAATGATTACTTTTATATATTTGTTAATTATGTAAGAGTAGTAAGTAACTAAATAAGAGCAGTCACTATATCTCCAAGAATACTTAATATATCTTTTGAATTTTTGAAATAAAAGTAGTCAATAGTAAGACTAGAGTAGTTAATAACTAAACAAGAGTAGTCATCAAATTTTGTAGAATGAAAATAACCAATCGTTATATAAGAGTAGTCAATTGCTAAACAAGAATAGTCATCAAGTTCTAAAAACAAATGTAGTTAATAACAAAAAAAGAGTATTTAATACATAAGAAAAAGTTATCACCGGAACTCTGACGACTAATCACTAAAGGTCTGACGACATGCCGTTTGAGCTCTAGTGACCAGCCACAAGAGGATGCGTCGACATTGGAGCTATGGTGGTTAGAAACTAACTAAAGGTGCAGATGACAAATCTTTTTTTAAAAAAAAAACAGTAGTAAAGGGCATTTATGTCATTTTACAAAATTTAAAAACTTCAAAATAATACAAGAAATATGATTTGAGATTTTAAAATTCACCAACACTAATATGTTATTTATCAATTTTTAGGGTATTTTATTATGTTTTTAGAAAGTTATATTTTTTTCCAGCTATATTCTTAGTTATAGTTATAATGCAAGGAACTTTTTTTTTTGCCAGTTAATTATTAAGACTACGATTTAATTTTTAAAGTTTAAAAGCTGAACCTATTATATTAATGATAAATATTAAAATACATAATACATTGACCGCTGATTAGAAAGAGAGAAAATCCAAGGGCGCGCGTTGTTTCATACCTACCGCGCATACCGGATCTCAGAAAAAGAACAAAAGGACAAGGACTAGAATTTAAAAAATAAAAGTTGTATTGGACTATGAGTCGATTTTTTATTTTAATTTAAATAGGGAGTAATAATTAGACAAACGCGTTGCTTGCTCAAAAATACAAGAATTTGAAAAAAGATTACTTTCATTCAAATTTAATGTAAAACTTTAATTCACTTTATTTTTAAATTTATATTAATATTTTGGAAAAATTTTAATTATACATATTAAATTTTTTTTAGTAAATGAGTAATTTTCAATAAAAATAATTAAAATGAACTTTAAAAAAATTAATCAAGAATTTTTATAGATAATTAATTTAATTAAATTTGCTAAATTTTTATAAATTAGTTATATAACTGCCATATTTAAGATGAAAATATAGTTTTTAAATATCGTCATTTTCCATAAATTGTCAAATGTGTGCGTATGATTATTTATATTGATGATAATAATAATACTGATATACCATATTAATTTTATTTTTTAAAATATGTCTAAATTACATTAACTTTTATGACTTTGAAAATTAAGTTTAGAATATGATTTAGCCTTTGAGAAAAATAATAAAATTCTTTTTTGTCAGAGAAAAGTAATAAAATTCAAATTGAGTTTATGGAGATGAATTATGAATAACATAACATTTAAAAAATTCTTAAAATGTAAGTAATTGTGTGGGCAATATAGAATATAAATATTACCATAATACATATATAATTTGTTTTTATCTGATAAAAGTTGATTTTTCCTTTTACCCAGAAAAATAGATTATTCCCCGCCCTAACTGAATGGTCCCAATCCATGCCGATGGTAATTACCGTAAAATTAAATAAATAAAGGCAATATGCATGGGTTTACCTTTTAAAGAAAAAAGATCCTTTCTTTGAATTTAAAGAATAGCTTAATTTTAACTTTACCAAAGTCATAGCTCTAATGAGTTTTGAAATTGAACTCACTTAAATTTTTTATCCTATTAAAAAAAAAAAAAAAGTTTCTTTTCTCCTACCTTGGCCCGCAAGGGGTGGCTGCCAGCTATTGGGTGAAGTTGGAATTTTTTTTTGTCTGCAGGGACAATTTTGTTATTTTAAAAAATTTAATTTCTGAATAGTGGTAGGAATTTCAGTCTCGTGAGCTTTTCCATTCTTTCTAGAGGGATCTATTTGACTTTTTCCAAAGCCAAAATTATGACAACATTTTCAATTTAATCTTTTTGTAAAAACGAAATCGAGGCGGTCCACGTCACATCAGATTCTAGAGATAATGGACACCTGTACACGTGTCAGCTGATGGACGTCATGTCGGTGGAGGAGAATATAGAACAGCAAAGATAAGCATCGGCCCCGGACGGGAAAATGACATTTCAGGACTATGAATATGAATCACTAACTACGATTTTTGTTTTTTACACAATTGGAAGGAAATTACTGCAATAATTCTTAATATAAAATTTAGTTAACCATTTTAAAAAAATTAAAAAAAATAAAAAATTATTTGATGATAATGTATGTTATATAATTTTTTTGAATTATTTATATATATCATCAGATTATACTATTTCTTGTAATAAATATAAAAACTAGTTGAGGATTTTAAATATAAGACATTTAATTTACTTTATCTCTCCTAATTGATTATAAGGTATTTCATTTAAATGTAGTTTCAATGTATATGATTGAGTGAGGATAATTTAGAAAAGTCGATACATGTTTGTTACACATGAATAACTTAACTAATTTTTTTATTTTTCCTAAATTACTTATCTAATTTTTATATTAAGTACTAGATATATTATATCAGTTTTTAAGTTAGAAAGATTATTTTGCAAAAAACGACAACCATAAAATCTTTGAAGTAATTTTTTAAATTTCTTTAAATTAGTCAACTGAATATTATACTAAGGACATGTAAAACAAAATAATTAGGGGTGTGTATAAGTAGAGCTGGGCAGAGCAAAACCTCTGCCTGATACCCAGCCCGAAGGATGAATGAGCTGCAAAATACAGCCCGTTGCCTGGTAAAAGTTCTATCAATTTTGGGCTGGGCTAATATGAGTAGGGCAAGACGGGCTTTCCTTGCCCAAATTTACAACTTGAGTCATGAAATTTAAAATATTACCATATGTTTTAACAAATATCCATGGTTCAAGAATTAAACAACATCCATAATTATTAAAAACAAGACAATAAAAAATTATAGTTAAAACCTTAAAGATCAAATGATTTGCATCAATTTCTACAAACTTGAGAAAAATGACAAAGCATATAAAAAGAATACAAGCTATATTAACATATTCAATTATATTATTAACTTATGGTTTAATATAATTTATAGAGATTTATATATTACATTCAAATTAGTATAATTAGTATCATTTCATGGCATATGAAGTAATATTAACTTGAAAAGGTTAAAAGACAGTTATAATACACAGCAAAATAAGAAAAGTTAAAATATGTGGTAGATTTTAAAAAAAATTAGAACTCTAAAAATGTAAAGTCTAATAATACAAGGGAGTAATGTTTGTTTTTGGGTATTAGAATATAATAAAATAAAATATATTAATATTACACTATATATATTATAATTCTAAAAAAATATTATAATATAAATAATTATATATATATTTCAAACAAGGCCAAATGGGCAGGGCTGCATACCTTGTCTATGGCCCTAACTTGGAATCTAATTATTAAGTTGATTTTGGTCTAAAAATAAAACCTATTTTTCGTATTTATCAATTTTTTTAAATTAACCTTATTGATTTTCTTTCAACAATAATCAAGTAAGAGAGAGAGAAAGGATATTAAAAAAGATAATTATAGTATTTTAAGAAAAATATATCATATTTTTTATGATTAATTAGTTTACCTAATTTTTAAAATCTAATTAAATTGGTTAAATGTATATTCCCCCGACTTGAAACGTCATTTTCCCTTAATGAAATGAGATTCGGCCCCCCTAAAGTCAATAATTAAATCCCGTCCTTATTAAAAAAAAAGGCGAAATAAAATCAAATAATATCTATCTATTAGCAAATTAAACCCTGGCTTTCTCTCTCTAGATTGATTCCTTTTTCTCGCTCCTCCGCGGTCGCCCACTTGTTTATATCTTGTGTTTGGGTCCATGTTCTCATCAACCTCCACTTCCTTTCCTCGAAGTTGCAGAGCTTGACCAAAATTTCCTTTCAGCCTTGTCTTTCCTGCTTGGTAATTCTTTTGCCTTCGTCTGCGGCGCCTTCTCCTTTTTCTTCATCCTCAATCGGGATCGGAAAAATTCCTGATTCTGTTCTTTTGTTTCTTGTAGCCTGTGATTTTAGGTATTTCTTTCCGATAAATAACCATTCATACTAAGCTCTGTCTCCGTTTTTCGCCCTCCTCCTTTGTGTATAGCTTCAGATTTGATTTCCTCTCTTTTGGGTTGTTTTTTCTTGGTATCCACACTGCTGTTATTGGGAACCCTTCTTGTTTTTGTTTTCCTCCTGCGACGGTTTTTATTTGCCACTTAGGTTTTACAATTCTGTGTGGTTTCGTAAGATTTGATGGTGTCCAATGATATCCAGATGTTTTTCTCCTTTTGGTGGTGATTTGTGTCTTCAATTACTTTTTGGTCTCCTTGCTATCGAGGAAAACTTTACTCTTTTCTCAGTCAGTTTGATATCCTCCTTTAATTTGTGATCAGTTTACTCCGCATGCACGGTTTTAAGATTCTTCGATGTATAAGTATTCACTGATCTGGCGGTCTGTTTTAATTGTGTGGTCGTTTAGCTTTGGATCTAATAGATTTTGCTCTCATCCCTGCTCTTAGATTTGTCGGTGCTGTACTTGGCTTGCTCTTATGTTTAATTTGGTTTTGATTTTTCAGTGCTGCGATTTTCTGATATAGCATTTTCTTGTTTTGTGTTTTGCAGGTTCTCGTGACTACCGGTTTGTTATTTGCTTTTTTGGCACTTCGAAGTGTGTCTAACGCTAGAAAATTAATCTAGTTGTCTAGGAGGAGCCTTTAGAAGAAAGATATGTCTACCAACATTATATTCAGTTCAGAATACTAATCTACTTGAAAAGTTGTGTTGAAAGTTCTTTTGCTATTGATTTATGATATTGCCCTGAGAAAGAAGGGTTGTGATATTTTGGCAAGCTTTGGAATCATGCCTATTTCAGGACGTGAAGAGGTGTTTATTTCCTTTCTGATTTACCGCTCACTACGATTAGAGAACCATATCAATTTGTTCTTTTTTGGATATTGATTACTTGATCTTCTATTGACAGACTGGGGTTAAATCCTATGATGGGCAGTTTAGTGGTTTAATTGCAGCTGTGCCTATCAAGAAAAGGAGGTTCCCCTTGATTCCAACAGTTTCACCTTTGTCTGGAGAACAAGGTTCACCCACTGAAGAAACTGAATCACTACAGAAAGAACATTTAAGTACTCCTCAAGGATCAACTGTATCAAATGCCAGTGTTGCAGATGCGCCAATTAAGAAAAGAAGGCTCCCTTCTGTTCAAGCTTCATCTCCTTTGGGAGAACTTCCTTCACCACCAGAAGAAAACAATGCATCGGATACCAATAAAGACCTTGCATTTGAAGAAAAGAATGCAACTTCTGATGTTACAAATGCTAACTTCGCCCAAAGGAATCCCAGTTACGTGAGCCCCAAAATTGAGAAACCAGATCTTGCAAGGCACTCAAGAACTTTGGATGAGGCGGACAGCAAACAGAAGTTGACTGCTAGTGAAATTTATGAAGAGAAATTGGGAGCCCAAGTGAAGAAGGAGAATTCACAACCCTTGTTGGCTGACTTTGCACTTAATATAGGATCCAAGATTACCGAGCAAAGTGTTGAAGAGAAATATAAACAGGAGAGTCGTGCCAGTACTAATTTATCTTTAGGTTTTAAGGAGCACTTATCTCCAGCTGTGACAAGCCTTGATATTGGTGAGGGTTTTCAGAAAACTGAGAAAGCAGAGTCTGTTTCATTGAAATTATCTCTGAGCAAGGAAGAAGGTAGTTCAAAGAGTTTTAATGATGATGCTAAAACTAGTAGGGCAAACTGGGATCTGAATACTACAATGGATGCATGGGAGGAACCTGGAAGTGATGCCACTTCAGGTAAAACATCAACTTCTAGCTCTGGGCTGCAAATAGCTGGCAGTGCACTTGATGCTAATAATGTTATGTGCTTCACTGGGATGGAGCCTACCAGCAAAGCCTCCCAAAAGCACACCGCTACTGAGGATCTAAACAAAACTTTCATGATTTCATCCAGACTGTATGGCCAACAGTATAAATATGTTAACCCTCGTAATCTTTGCATTGCTTCATGTCCTCAGAAATACACTGGAGAACCTTCTAGATTATCCGTTATACAAAAATCAGACTGTGCTATTCCTACTTTGAGCTTGGCAAATGTGTCAGCTTCTGCTGCTGATGGAAACAAAACTAGTGTTAGAACAGTAAAATCAGAGCCCTTAGATGAGAACTCGAAACAGGATTTGAAGGAGGCTAAAACTAGTCCTGTGAGATCATTAGATGGAGTCATTGTCAAGGATGAATTACTTGAGCGTTCCAGTGTTGATTCTGTCAAGACTTCTTCAGAAGGTAGCAATCTTAAGTTACTTGGTCCTAAATTTGTTAAATCTGAACCAGGTCATTCAAATAATCAGGAAAGACCCATGACAATGGAGAGTGTATCGGATCAAATTGGTGCAGGGTTGCTACAGGCATCAGATAACTGTTCTTCCATTGAAAAGCCAGGGACTTTAGAATCAGTGCCATTTTCTGCAGGGGGAGCTTGTCCTCCAGTGGAAGCCATATGTACAGAACAGTTGACCACCAGCGCAAGGATAGTTAACCATTTAGAAAATCATGCTTCTACAGATAAAGCCTCTATTGATGAAGAAGCAGCTCAGGGAGATTGTTCAGGTGACCAGCAGGCTCCTCCAGAAACCGTTGTCACAGCCATGGTTGATAATGCAGTATCAAGTGGTCCTCCCGTAGAGGATTGTGCAAGAAGAAATGAGGAAAATGCAGATGATACTGGGGGATGCAGGTTGAGACTCATGAATGAGGTCCCCTCAGATCCACAGTGCAGTGGCGAAGATGGTGTGAGTGATGATGAAAAGATAACCTTATCAGCTGATATGCTAGAGGATGATTCTTATGGTTATGATTATGAATCGGATGGCACTCATTCTTTAACTGTTGCCATGGATATAGAGCAGCATGGTGAAGAGGATGATGATTATGAAGATGGCGAGGTTCGTGAACCATTAAAGCATTCTGTAGCAGAAAAATCTGTTTGTGAGGTAAGAGAAGTAGAACGTATTGTTTCCGGTAATTGTGATGATGGCAAAGGGATTGAGAAAGAAGTGTCAAGTGGTGATTGTCCCATATCATCTCGCAGAGAAGAAAACGACAATAGAACTGTTACTTGTAGCAAAATTAATTGTGGTAAAGATGGTATTGACAGTGAATCTATCAATATGTCTGATAATGTCACTGACAAAACTGTGTGTCTACAAGAGTCATTGGATGCTGAAAAGCCAACTGTTGGCCCTCAAATAAGGTCGTCGGATCATTCTGAAAGGAATAAAATCCTTAATGCTGCAGAGAGCAAATTATTATTGGACCAAGGCAATAATGGAAGCAATGAAGTAGGTGTTGCTCAGTGTGCAGATGAGGTTGTCAAGAATCTGGACATGGTTAGAAAAACTGACTCAGATTTGCCAAAGATGGAAGTATCTGTAACTATTGATGATGCAAGCAAGGATGTAACTAATGGTGGTAATCAAGGAAGGATTATAAATTTGGCCCAAGCTGCTGGTTCTTTGTCCCCTAAATCCAGCTCCATTCCAGGCAGGGGACTGTCATCACAAGCTGGAAGGGATGTATTACCTGATGAATTCCATCATCAGAAATTACATGGATTAAGGTATATGCTGCATTGATAGTTGAATGTTTTACAAACTCTTTTGTCTTCCTCCTTTTCCTAACACTGTTAATATGTCTGCATTGATAGTTGAATGTTTTACTAACTCTTTTGTCTTCCTCCTTTTCTTAACACTATTAACAGTGGAATACTTTTCCTTAACACTTTCCCTTACCCCTTAACGCTTCTACCTTTCTGTTTTGATTTTCAGAGATGATGTTTATATTGATGGTCCTTGCAAATTTTCAAGGGAAAGGCATCAAGATATTTCACCTAGAAACTCAAGACTAAGTTTTGTGCGTGGTAGAGGGAGGATTAATAGTCGGATTGACACATGGAAGTCTGACCGTGACTTTGCTGGTGAATTTTATAATGGTCCAAGTCATTTTCGTGGTCCTAGGCATAAATTTGTATCTGCTATTCATGATGCCGAATCAGAGTACAATAATGTTCCACATGATAGTTCGTTTGTTGGTAACAATCGGTTAGGTAGGAAGCCCTTGAATGATGAGAGGCAAGTTGGTCGCCATATCACTTTGAGGAGACGGTCTCCAAGGGGTAGAGAGGGAATGCAAATGGGGCAGAGAATTCCTAGAAATATGAGCCCAAGTAGATGTGTTGGAGATGATGGTTCTGAGTTTGTTAATGTGAGGCATGGTGACAAATTTTTGAGACGGTACCCTGATGATACTCTAGACCCTATGTTTTCACGTCCCCAGCCATTTGAGAGAGGAGATGGCCGATTTACGCGGGGAACTAGGAACTTCATTCAGAGAAGGGGTCCTCCTCGAATTCATTCCAAGTCTCCTATCAGATCTAGGAGTCGCTCACCTGGTCCATGGTCATCTCCTCGGAGAAGATCTCCTAGAGGATCACCAGATGGGTACAGTGGACATCCTGAATTGGCCTATCAACGATACAGGGTTGACAGAATGAGATCACCTGATGGTCCCATTTTCTCTGGGGAGAGAAGAGTAGTTAGGAGGCATGTCTCTCCTTCATATATGTCTCGTCCTTCTAATGATACCAGGGATTTTGATTCTGGAAGGGGTCGTGGTCATCCCAGGTCTATCATATCCAACCGGGGTACATCTGGTCGAATTTTGTTTAGAAATAGAAGATTTGATGGTGTAGATCCCCAAGATAGGGCGGATAATGACGAGTACTTTGGAGGTCCTATGCATTCTGGACGACAATTTGAACTAAATGGTGAAGGAAATGGTGATGAGAGGAGAAGATATGAGAGGCGGGGACCAGTTAGATCATTTAGGCCTCCTTATAATGGTAGTGTTGGTGAGAATTTTGATCTTGATGCAGAGGATGGAGCTAGACACTACAGATTTTGTGCACCTGATTCAGAATTCCAAGAACGAAGCAGTGTGAGAGAGAGGGAATTTGACAGGCGCATCAAGAGTAGGCCAGCAAATATGCCACCTAGAAGAACAAGAAATATAGATGAGCAGGAAGCAAATTTCAGGAATAGTGGACAGGAAGTTTGGAGTGATGACGGCTTCGATGATATTTTTAGAGTGAAGAGAAAAAGATTTTAATTCTGTAGCTAGAAAATCTGATGCTTAATGCTGCAGGATAATTAGGTAATCTGTACTGCAAATTTTCGTCTAGAAAATTATATTAGATTATTTTGATTTATAGATATTATCTTATGTTGGAAGACTTCTTGACGTGTCACACTAATTCAACCGAAAGGGCAGAATGGCCTCAGCAGTGGATAAAGTGATGGATGTAGGATTCATAAAAATGTGCAATTGAAAAACCCCCCGAAGCAAAAAAAGGGCCCAAAGAGAGAGAAAAATAGAAGGGTGGAGCCATGTGTGAAATAGAGGCCGCGAGTTGCAGCATTGTAATTCATCTGAACACAAACTAATGCCAGCGAACTGGGGATATAATTTTTCGGTAGTGTCTGCCTCTTTGAGAAGCCTGGCGACTGACATTTTTGGGATATTAGTGAACGATTGTTATTATAATTACGTTGGCAAATTATCTTACCGTATTTCGTCAGTCTGCTCCACTTTGTTGTTAATCCCGAGGGAAAATGCTATTCAATGGCAATTTAGTAATTCCATGCTTTCAGTGACGCGTTGAAGGCGAAACTGTTGTTTTTCCTTTTTTTTTTTTTTCGGTAGGCTCTTAGCTAGCCCATAAGCTATGTTCTGATGGGGCCTACACTGTGAAAATTGGAAACTTGAAAATACCCTACAGGATTTGTGAAAGATTTGTCGAGGAGCTCCTCTTTTCTCTCTGATATCGTCTAGAAAAGCATCGTTCCAAGTGTTTTCTAAACAAGAGTTGGTAAGATAAGTATATTTGCAAGTACTTTCTCAGTCTGGAAGTACATCTTGATTTCGGTGAGTTTTTGCGATCAAATTCACCTAAACTTTTTCTTTTTCTGACAAAAAAAAATCATTCCTAGTTAATGAAATCAGATGTGTTTTTCTGGAAAGCATGCGCATACGCATTGGCGTACTGTTTGTAGCATATTGCTTTGTTTGGCAGAAGAGGCCTAACAAGATGGGCCCTGAAGGTCAGTTTGGTCATTGATTTCCACGAAGTGATTGGATTCAGATCACTGCTTTAACGTCTTTTCTACGTTTTCTTTTGAAATGGTGCGGTCAAGAGGCATAAACTTTTTGGTAGCGTCTTGGTGGCTTCTCCAAGTATCGGATCAAGACCTTGGATACACAAATTTGAGATTCATAAAAAGAAATAATGATGACAATAATAAGGAATCAACTATCAACTGTTAGCCAATGTTTCTAAAATCACTTATATTATGACTTTTTTTTTTTGAAGACTAAAGTCTATGTTTAGTCCTCTAAGTTTACATTAAATTTTTAGTTCCTTAATAATAATACTGGTAAGGCTGCACATGGGTCGGCCAGAGGCCCAGCCCAAAGTATGCGTAGGCTGTATTGTTCAGCTTGCTGTCTAGCCCTGCCATCAAAAGTCCTAACTATTTTTGGGCTGGGTATGGGTGGGTTGGGCAGGACGGGCTTCGTTGCCCAAAAGGTGATGCCCTGCTCATATCATATGGGGAAATTTTTTTTATCCATATCTAAAAATTACATTTTATAATTCTACATTTTGACACATTGAAATCATCTAGAAATAATCCAAATTAAGTCTTAACAAATATCCAATTAAATAACATCCATAATCAATTTAAAACAAGACAACTCTCAATATTATAATTGAGGCCTTGAAATTCAAACGGTTTGCATCGATCCCACAATTTTGAGAAAAAGATGGAACATCTGAAAAAATACGAAAAAAATGATTATAAATTTAATATATTAGCAAGTAATTAATAAAAAAAATGCACTTCTAAATTTTAAAGGATGCATAGATACAGCTAACCAACTTGGGTAGTCATGCTTATAAAATGACTCTTCAATCACCAATAGCCATTAAATTCTCTCCTCCAGGTGTAGCAGCATCTAGGGGAAAATAAAATAAAAAACAATTATGTACCAAATTATGAAATAACATAAATATATACATGAGTTATTGAGGTTTGGGGGGAAAAAGATTACTAGCAAGTTGAAGGACGTTTTCTATCTTGTCAAAATTATCGAATTCGCGAAGCTTGTTAATAAATTCAGATATTGATTGCCCAAGTTGTAGCCAGTTTTGACTACAAATTATTGCTTCTGTCATTTTAGGAGACAAAGAACTCTTATAATGATCAACTACACATCCTCCAGTGCTAAATGTAGACTCAGAAGCCACTATAGAAACTGGCATAGTCAATACATCTCGTGCCATATGAGAGAGAATTTTATATTTTTCTAAATTAGCTTTCCACCATAACAGTATGTCAAACACAGCTGGAGAAAGGATTTCATCTCTCGAGTCTGTTGCTATATATCTATCTAACTCGGTTTGAGGATCTGTTGAGGTTCTTTGTTTCATAGATTCTAACCACTTATGACTTGGATCCTCTTCACCACTACCACCATCATCATCAAAAGAAGGCAATGAAGTTGGACCTACTGTACTTGTAGAGATAGTCCCTGATTCAATAGAAATCCCAACAGAGTACTTAATAAACAATCGATACAAAAAATCTTTGACCCTCTCCATAATTAAACATACTTCAGGATCAATGTAAAGAAGATCAAACATACGATTCACATATGCTAGTTTACATCAAGGATCCAAAATGACAACGACAAATAGCAATGGATTCATATTATCTGCTTGACCCCAATACTTTTCATACTTCACCTGCATGTTAATGCTCATTTCTCTCAAGAAGTTATTAGTATTATTCATGACATTCTTTTGTAGTATTTTCTGAACATGACCATTCTGGCGGATACACTCATTTAATGATACAGAAAGGGAGCTTGAAAATTTCAATGTTATGTCATAAAAGACCTTCAAGAATTTGATGAAAATTCGAGTATTATTCCAATAATCAATAACAGGACCAGAAAAGTTATCTTGGTCATGTCTAATATCATCACGCTTATGCCTAGCTGAACTAGAAGCATCACGCCTAGAGCTTGAAGTGCCTAAGCTGAAGTATGAAATATAGTCATCATCTTTGTCACGCATTCACTCAAATGCTTTTTGAAACTTCATTGCAGCTTCAGCCCAAGTTTTGAATTCCATCGAGTGGATACATCAAGGCAGACAAGGCTCTTGGTGTCTATTTTTTCAGCTTCAGCCCAAGTTTTGAATCTTAGAAAGCATGAAAGGGAAGAATGAACATATCTAATAGCACTTCAAATGGCTTCAAAGCCGTCTTTCACTTCTTTAATACTTTTATTGACCACCAAATTTAAGATGTGTGCACAACACCTTAATTGTAGATAATCACTTTCACAAAGTAAGCCCTTTCAACTCCTCAAACGCCTTTTAAGATATTTCAAAGTTGAGCCATTAGTTGCGGCATTTTCTACAGCTATGATGAATACTTTCTCAATCTTCCAATCCAACAAGCATTGCTCAATGGTCCTCCCTATAGTATCACCTCTATGATTTTCAATCATAACAAAATTTAGAATCCTTTTGTGAAGCTTCCATTCATCATCAATAAAATGTGCTATCAAACATAAGTAGTTAAAATTCTAATTTGATGTCCAACAATCTGTGGTGAAACATACACGTTTTGCACTTTGCTTCAAGAATTTCTTTAATATTTTAACTTCTCCAAGGTATAATTGCCACACATCTCTTCTAATTGTTGTTCTTGAAGGGATTGGAAAGTGAGGTTCAAACTCATTTAACAATTTCCTAAATACAGGCTTATCCACAATTATGAATGGTTGCTCATCACAGATAATAAATTCAGCTAAAGCTCTTATACATCTCTTCTCATCATATACATGTGAAACTAAAGATTTTCCTTGCCCAATTGTCCTACCTAACAACAGAGTTAACATAGATTATTTTTTTATCTGTAGTGTCCTTATGTGGATTCTTTGAACACTTTGAGATATGCTTTAGCAAAGAATTTGTCTCATGGTGGCTTAGACTAGCTTTATAAGTAGTATGACAATACTTACAAGCTGCTAAATGCACTCCATTAGTTTCTTCTATTGGCAATCTCATGAAGTATTCCCACACCTCTGATGTGTGCTTAGGTTCTCATTCCTTTCTCTTTGTACCCCTTCCTTCAACATTTGTTTCTTGTCTCACAGTATTTGTTTGTGTGGGAGTGGGAGTGGGAGTAGGAGAAGGAAGGACAGGATGAGACAGTTGAACATGAAGAGTTGGGCTAGGGTTAAGAGCTTCACTGGCCCTATTAGGATTTGGTGTTTCATAAGGTCCTAGAAGGGTTGGTGTTTGAAAAAGGGTTAAAGCACCTTGAGACATTCCACCAACTGGCTGGGATGGTGATGTAATAGAAGCTTCATCATCCATTAAAGCTGCAAAATTATATAATTCAACAAACCATGTATTAAAGATATATTAGTACAAAATTACTTTCACAATTGAATTAATATGTGATACAATAATACTGATACGAAATACAATTCATAATAGACCATTTAATATAATTGATTCATTTTAGACAACTCGGTCAAATCTATCCATGAAATTCAATTTTCTCTGCCAACATACCATCATAACATGCGCCAATGTTGAACGGCAATCAAGATCAAAGAATTCACTTTAGAGTGCAATCAATTATGGGGGGGAGAATTCAGAAAATGATTGAATAGAAAAACGATGAAACAGAGTGCAATAAACTAAACCCATGATGAAACAGATTGAATTCAGGGTGCAATAAACTAAAATGATCATAGCAAAATTCAGAGTTGCATTTGAGTAAATTCATCACATGAGGATTAGATGAAACATAAAACAACAAAAGGAATTTAAAATTGGTATGCAAATCGGGTGAAGATTGATAATATAACTATGCAAAATTGGTATGCAAAATTGCAAATTGGGCAACTGAAATGGAATTCAAAATTGTAAATAGACAAACCCCAACAGACAAATCAACATGGAAAAATAGGGCAACTAAAATAGAAATGAAGACTGACATGAGATGCGAGAGATAGATTGATGGAGTTGGAGGCTGCCTCCCTGTGAGCTGCCGAATTGGTCGTTGGCTTGCTGCTTCACTAGTCAGTGATCGTTGCTTCGCTGTCGATGGAGGAAGATGAAGACAGATCTGGTAGTTGCTTGCACCTTACTGCTTTGCTGTTGTTGGTCAGAATGAAGACTGGATCAAGTGGCGAGGAGTCGATCTCAGTGAGTTGAGACCATGAGATTGAGGCATGA